CGGGCCGCCGCCTCGCTGCCGCACATCGCGCGGGGCCGCGGCGAGGAGGGCGGCGGGCGGCGCAGCCCCTGCCTGCTCGTGGCGCTGCGGCCGCGGAACGTGGAGGCGGAGCGGGAGCGGTTCTTCCGCGCCAGCTTCGCCTACGACCCGCAGTTCGAGTACGCGGAGCCGGTGCCCGCCGCCGTGCTGGACAAGTACGGGGCCGCCTCCGACCGCTTCGTGGCTCAGGTGAGGCGGGGCCGGCCGCCGGGCTCGGCCTGGAAGGAGGAGGAGGAGGAGAAAGGAGGGACCGGTGCCAGGGTGTGGATGTATCCTGGTGGGGCTGGCCAGGATATGGTCCATGGTCCGTAGAATTCTGGAATGGTTTGGGTTAGAAGGGGTTTTAAAGACCCTTTCTACATTTTAGAATTACCCCACACACCCTGCCGTGGACAGTGACATCTTCCACCAGACCGGTTGCTCCAAGTCCCATCCAACGTGGCCTTGAACATTCCCAGGGATGGAGCAGCCACGGCTTCTCTGGGCAGCCTGTGCCAGTGCCTCGTCACCTTCACAGGGAAGAATTTATTCCTGATGTCCAGCTTAAAACCAGCCTCAGTCAACACCATTCCTCCTGGACCGTGTGAAACCTTGCCTTCTTTCTTTCCCAGCTGGTGCCTGATCTCTCTCCCCTAGCACCTTTTGTGTCCTGCCTTCATTACACTTCACCCTGTGATTTCTTAAACCTCAGGTTTTAGTAACCTCACCTACCTGCAGGAATGGTGCATGCTCCGTGGTGACACGGGTCCTGCTGGTGCTGGGTGATGCCAGGTTGGATGGGGCTTTGAGCAGCCTGGTCTGGTGGGAGGTGTCCCAGCCCTTGGAGGAGGATTGGAACTGAATGATCTCAAATTTCCCTTTCCACCCAAACCAGTCTGTGTTTCTATGATCAGACTGGCTCCTGCTTATGCTGGGAGCTGTGCTCCATCAGGGACACCTTTTTGGTATGGTTTTGCACTTGTTGCTGTAGAACTAACAGCAGGGGAACTGGAGCACGTGGGTGACAGCATGGGAAGTGGTCCTTAGCCTGAATTACCTGGTGGTTAAGTCTGGCTTGTTTTCTGGAAGGCCTAAAGGTTGCCCAGTGCAGCAGCATCCTTAAGGCATCAGCAAACATGGTCAGTAATGACATTAATTGGTGAAGACATCACTTAAGGAGTCTGTATTATTTTGTTTAACTGTTTCCATGGCTTATATGCTACTAAAACATTTCTGAGTTGCTCTCTGCCATGGGGATGGCACTGAGAAAACTGAGAAAACAGCTCCTGGTCATTCAACAGGTGAGAAGAGTCAGGGGTTTGCTTCCAGGGTGCTGTGCCCACAAACAAGCCTTTTGTGGCTGCAGGAGTAGAGCTGCTCTGTCCCTTCACCCTGTGCTTGGAGCTGAGAGCCTGGCCGTGTCCCAAAATCAGTTTGCAGCTGGGAGTGAGCATCCTGCCTCTAGGAAGAGCATCCTTCCTGCCACGTGAACCAGTGAGCAGATAAAAACCCCCAGTTATCCCAAATTCACACACCAGAGGTGTTTCTTTGCACCTCTCAGTCGGGAGTTACTTGTTCAAGTAACAAATTCCTCACTGATTTATTTATTGTTTTTTGAATGTTTTGTTTTCCCCGCATCACTGCCCGTGTCTCTGCCTGGATTATTACCCAGATGATTCAGGCCCTTTCTGTAACCAGCTTTCTGAGCAGTTTGTCATTCCCAGTGTGTGCCATACCTCTGCCCCAGATAAACTGGTGCCAGCAAGGCTCTTGCAGGGGAGACACTCTGACGCCTGCAAAGGCCTCACAGCTTTTGGCATTTCCCTCCTGTATTTTATTCCCTGCCTTGTGCAGTAAAATGAGTTGCTGAGAGCTCTTTCACCCTGTGCTTTTTCCTTCGGTGCAGTTGGCTTGCAGCCGAGTAAAAGATGAATAATTGAGATTATTTCTTCACTGGGCAGGGCTTTGAGTGAATGGAATGAAGGTTTGTGACCACTGTGGATCCTGGAAGCTTTTGCAAGAGATACTAAGTGTTGAGTGTTTCTGCCAATGTTTCTCCAGGTTTTCTGGTGAGGCTGGGACGGGACAGCATTCATGGCACTGTTCCTCTGCTCTTACCCTGCAGTAACCTCCTTCCAGCCTCTTTTATTTTGGGAAGCATTTTTCATTGGCAGCTAACTCTTAGCTATAAACTGCTTTTATTTTCAAAGACCTCTGTTAATAATGGAGATTAAATAAATAAGACATTTTGCTAAGTCAGCCTCCTTGGACAGGAGCAGGCAAACCAACACCACCTCCCTGCTTCCAGCTGCTCTGCTGGTGCTTGGGGGGTTATTTTATTTTCTTAATAGAAAACTTAAATAAGCCAGGAGGTTCTTCCAGCCCTGTGGAGGCTCATCACCCTGGAGATCACATCCCTGGTTTGCCACGTGAATTTGAGTGGCACCAGCACAGAGCTGGAGGATTTGTTATCCCACTACATATGTTGGGTGCGTGATCTGGGGATGCTCAGAACATTAAACTTGGAATCTCAGGAAATTTGCTTACCAGGATGTGCTCTGAAGGCTGGGAACCAGCTCTCTGGTTGTCTTACTCCTGGGCACCAGCTGTGCTGGGTTTCTCTTGGCTCAGTGATTTGGGTCCCCTGGGAGGGGAGAGAGCAAGAGGCTGACAGAGGTGGGAGGATGAAAGGTTGTTTTTCTGCAGTGGTCAGCTGAAGGCACCTTGCAGTGCTGTAAAAATGAGTCTGATTGTTCAGCAAACAAAGCAAAAAACCCCCAAAACCCCCACCCCAGAAAACAAAACTCACAACAGAAAAACTGTGCACAGCTTCTCCTGGAAAGACTCAGTAAATTACTTGAGAATAAAAACCAGCTGTGAAAACTGCCCAGGGAAGGAAAATCAGGACCTTCTGCAGGGATAGAGGAGGTTGCTCACCAGATGCAGACCTAAAGCCCCTCTTAGGATCACAGAATTGTTTAGATGGGATAAGACCCTTAAGATCAAGTCCAGCTGTTACTTAAGCACTGCCAATCCCACCACCAAACCACGTCCCCAAGTGCCACACCTACGTCTTTTGAATACCTCCAGGGATGGTGACTCCACCTCTGCCCTGGGCAGCCTGTTTCAGTGCTTGACAACCCTTTCCATAAAGAATGTTTTTCTAATATCTGAGCTAAACCTCCCCTGGCAGAACTTGAGCCATTTCCTCTTCTCTTACGGGGTGTTGGATGATTTGAGCACCAGTACTGGTGGTGAGCACCCATCTCCTGGTCCTGGGTGACCTTAGGGACTAGGGAGGGACAACAAGTGGTCCAGGGCTGGGAAGCTTGGCAGCAGCCCAGCCAGGCTTGCAGATGCAATAAAACTGCTGGAAAAAATCCAGAACTGGTTGAAAGTCATCTGCTTTGGAATATGTACTAATATAATATGAATATAATGTCTAATATTAATATATTAATATATATTCAAATGGCTGGAGAAAGTAATTGCTGGAAAATGTCTGCAATGGAAGCACACTTTTTGGGGAGGAAATGTGCTAATAAATGTTCGTATTATATAGATGCTCCATAAATGTTAATGTGAATAATGGAGCACGTGATGCTTTTATTAGAAGGCTGCTGGGTGTAGAGCAGGCTGGTGGTGCTGAGATGCTGTTTGAAGCAGCATCACTGCAGAGGGTGGTGCACAGCCTCACTGCTGAGCTTGGAATTCAGCCCTGGAGTAAGAAACTCTGGGAGTACAAAGCAAGCTCAGAAGCTGGAGATCTTTGTGCAAGCACTGGAGTTTGCAAGGAGAACTGAAAGCAGAAAAGACTGAAAATAATAATGGATTTAACCACACTGCAATGATGCAGTTTCACTTCTGCTTTGCTCCATTTCTGCAAGAGATGGAGCAAAAGGGTGCAAAATGGAGCAAAATGGAGCCTGCAAGGGTGACAAAGGGCAGAAGGAATATGCTGTGGGTCGTGCTGATTGTGTGAAGTGTCCGTCTGTCCTGGTGGCCACCTCCAGCCAGCTCAGTCTCCTTGGTTTTTTAGGTCCTGCGAAACCACGTGGTGTTTTATTGGCGTTAATCAGGGGTTGCCTTCACTGGCTTTGTTGCCCGTGGGATTTTAGGCTGTGTTTGTAAGTGAGGAGGTGTTTGTGCTTATGTTGGTGCTTTCTGTGTGCCACAGGCCATCAGGATCATTCGTACTGTCCTGGAGAAGTACGGGACCTACGAGAGCTTCGAGGTGGCCACGGGTGGGAGGCTGCTGAGCAAGTGCCAGATCTGGTCCGTGATCCGAAAGTACATGCAGAAGGAAGGCTGTGTGGGAGAGGTAATCCGTGTCCCTGCTTTATCACTTGTAAAACACAGCAATATTTATTTTCTGATAAAAAGGACTCTGATTAAGAAATGTTTTGGTTACAAAGAGGAAGCTTTTCTGCGCTGAGCGGTGGTGTCTTTTCACCTCCAGCTTCACATAGCCCAGCTTTAAGACATGGGTGCTGGTTCCCCACAGACTTCCTGTAATGTTTTCCATGTGTATCTCCCTTCTGTGCTTGAGAGAGAGGGAGCAGCTGCTGCTTGTCTGCATGGCCAGGAGACTTTTGCTGCGTGCATGAGGCATCAGTTACTGTTGGGAAGCTGTCTCTTGCTGTTGGCAGTGGGAGGGCAGACTTCTCCGACAGCTGCCCTAACCCACATGTCCAAAAGCCAAGCCAGGGGAAGAGATTTCCTGCTGTCCTGCAGGACATACAGGTTATGGTGCTTTGAAACCCCAGGCTTGGGTTTTAAGGCTGGGAAATACGTGGTTAAGATACAACAGTAGCCAGGTGGGTTGGAGCCAGGGGAGAAGTTCAACATCCCCTAACCTGGTTTCTCTGCACTCCCTCCAGCATCCAGCATGGAGCATGCCACAGCTGCCATTAAGGAGCCTTTTTTATCCCTTCTGCCAGCAAGGTGTGGGCAAAACACAGCCGCTGTCCTGAGTTCAAAGTCTGAGAAGGATTTCTGGACCTGGCTTTGCGTGGGTTGGCTTGCAGGGCTCCCTGGGGCTGTCGGCTGCAGGGCAGGGACTGTGCAGTGCTGGCTGGTGTGGGGGCTTCCTCACCACTGCTTCTTGGCCAGACTCTATTTCCTACCTCTGATTTTTCACCTCTGTCTCCAAAGAGGGTTATTGGTGAGCATTTCTCGAAGGTATCACCTCACCCAGTGGTACCCAGTGCATTCCGTGCAGGCAAAGCAGGAATGAGAGCTCCCCTGAGGTCCCTCCTGCCCAAGGACATTTCATTTCTTCCTCAAACACCCTTGGTTTGCCCTGATGCCTCCTGAGGGTGTTCCTGGGAGTGGATTTGGCACCTTGGTCCTCCTAAGCCTTTGCTTGGGACAGAACAGATTTCTGCAGATGTTTCCCTATAATTTGTCTGCCTTTGAGTGCCCAGAACCAGTCTCAATACCCAGCCAAGCAGCTGCCAGTGTTACAGACCTGCACTTACAACTTGCTAATTGAGCTCTATCTCTCTGGTTTATTAATTGATTAAATTCACCTACTCTGTTCTCCATTAATTGAGCCCTGGCTGGGCAGAAAGCCATTGATTTTCTCACCTATTGGTGTACAACTGGCTTCCTTCCAACCCTGTGTAATTGTCCCTGTGCTCAGAGCTGTGAGGTGCTGGACTCAATGAACCCTGTGGGTCCCTTCCAGCTCAGGACATTCTGTGATTCCAGGCAATGCAGAGTTCAGTCACTGTTTGCACATCGGTGTGGCTGTTTTATCTGGGGCTTTTGATATGTGCTTTGGAAACAATGAAAGCATTGGTTTGTTCCTTTCTGTCCAATGGAAATTTTGCTGGATGTGTCTGGGGTAGGGAAGAGAGAAGGGTTTCACCTGCTCTCCGTAGAGCCATGTTGGCAGAACTTGCTCCCTGTACAACACCAAAACTTGTTGAAACTTCTGCATCACTGATAATCTCACACCTCTCAGGGAACTGGGCGCTTTCAGGCGTGTCTCCCTCCCTGCACCTGTATCTCTGATTCCTGACTTTCACCACCTGTGCCCTGTCTGTTCTGCCGTGCCCTTTGCTCCCCTGATAAGTACTAATGGTGATGGCTTGCTTAAAAGAGAAGAAACTCCTGTGGGGGTAGAGTTAGCCCAGAGCACGAGCAGCTGGCGTGTCCCTGCCCACGGGCAGTCCTGGCAGGCAGCGTAGCCAGGCCGGTGGCAGCCTCTGCAGCTGCCCTTTGTCCCCAGCACCGACTGGCAAAGGCAGGATCCTGCTTCCCAGCACCGCAGGCAGCGCGCTCCTGGGTAAGTGCTCATGCTGGAATTAAATTTGTGCCCTCAAAAGCTGCTTTGCTGGGTTCCAGGCTGCAGATCCTGAAGCTCTTCTGCTTTTTTTCTGACTTAGACATGATGCTGCCCGAGGTTTCCATATGGATTTCAGTGGGCTCACGGCTGGCAGCAGAGAAACACCGGGCCCCACTGGTAAGTGCTGCATGGCAATCCTTGGGGTTGTGGAGTACTGTCAGCCTAAACAGTGCTAGCTGGTGTCTCTTGGGATCCCATCAATGGCCTCCCTCTACCTCTGAGCTGCTTGCTCAGTGTCAGAGGTCCTGAGCAGTGCCAGGAGAGACAGAACCCATACCCCTGTGCCATGGGGACCACCAGAAGCCTTCCCTTGGTTCCTTGGGATCAGCTCTTTCTCCATCAGTGCTTTCACAAAAGCTGAGCAAAACCATGGACCACAAGGATGCACTGGGGATGCTGTTCAGAATGAGAGAGATCACAGGCCTGGGGAGCTGGTCCTGCTGCTTTTTGGCTGGAGTTGCAGCCCTGGTTGTATCTGCAAAGCTGGAGGCAAAACAAGGCAAGTGGTGCTGCTCAGCAGAATGAGTTTTTGTAGCAGGAGAGGAGCTGCAGTGCAGCATAAGAAGCTGTGGTTTCTGGCACTGCCCAGAGTCCCTTTCCATTGCTCCTGCATGGCTGGTTCTGCACAAGGAGTCAGAGGTGAACTGACAAGGCTCAGCATTGGAGGGATTCCTTTTCACACTGGTATATTTTGACCCAGGTAAGCAGTTACCCTGTAAGTATTTTATGCTGTTTGCCCAGTGGTGGACTCTGTTAGGCTGCACTTTTGGCTTTCATAATAATAATAATAAATCTGACTTAAAGCAAACCAATTCAGTCTCCTCTCTTTTTTTTAATAGGAGAAGAATTGTCATGTAGTAACACAGGCATGTTTTCATCCTGAAAAGTGTCAGTTATGAAATAACAGGTGGTTTACAGAGTCAATAGGTATGTAGGGGATTTTGATTGCTATCCTGAGGTTTGCCACTGTCAAACCTTGGATGCAAGAGCTCCCAGGGGCCATCTCCTGGTGATGCTGCAGCTTTGAGTTGCTGCAGATCTGAAGTCAGGTGGTCAGAAAGTGCTGCTGGCTGGCAAGTTAACTTCTGGTGAGCAGCTCTCTTGGCTCCAGTACCTGTGATAGCCAGGTTTCTCAAAATACCAGTTTTTTCTGCATGAAGATACTGAATAGTCCTATACATGCAGTGCCCATCCCTGCTGTGAGTTGTGGCCAGCACACACAGTTCCTCCTGTGAGGGTGGACTGGCATGGAGCCATCCTCACTGCTCATGTCTTGAAGCCTCAAATGAGAGAATCTGTGGAGAAGTCCGTGAAAATGGAACCAGAGCCTTGGATCCCTCAGGAGATGTTTCTTGGGGAGTGCAGAGCCATTACAGAGCTGGTGCTGTTGGGTGTTCAGAGTGCAGTTGTTTTGATGGCCAAAGTTCCTGCCCCATCCCTTTGCCAGTGGGGATGCAGAAGGGGGACCAGGCAGGTCTCCAGAGGATGTCTGTCCTGTGTGGGAAGCCCATGGGAACAAGCCTGGAGCCAGAGGGGTGCTGCAGGAGGCTGCCCAGGAGCTGCCTGCTCCCCCCACAGTGCCTGCTCAGCTTTGTTGGCTGTAAAGAGATTAAAGGAGCTACTTCATCCCTGCATGAGATCATCTCTCTCCTCTCATTATCCCCCCACCCCCAGTGGCTCTTGCTGTCTGCCATTCCCTTGGGGAGCTGCAGCACAACCCAGTGATGGTGCAGCACTGCCATCCGTGGTTTCAGTGGCTTTTTCTGACCATCTGTCACCGTCTCAGCCTCTGCTGAAAGCCAAGCCCCGGCTCATGGCCACTGCCTCCTCCTCCTCCTGCAGGTGGTGGTGCAGCTCACGGATGACCTCCTGTCCCAGGCCGTGATGATGGTGGAGGACAGCCGGCCCACGCTGGCCATCAACCTGGCGGGAGCGCGGCAGCACTGGCTGGAGGGGATGCTGCGCCACGAGATAGGTCAGCTGGGCTGGCTGAGGGTGGGCCTGAGCTGGGGGTGCTCTGGGCATTCACTGCTGTCCCCTCTCCCCAGGCACCCACTACATCCGGGGGGTCAACAACACCCGCCAGCCCTGGCACAGCTCCGAGGGCCGCAAGCAGTACAGCCTGAAGCCCGCCAACCCCACGGAGGAAGGCTTGGCCAGCCTGCACAGCGTCCTGTTCCGCAAGCAGCCCTTCCTGTGGCGGGCAGCCCTGCTCTACTACACCATCGAGCGCGCCAGCCGCCTCTCCTTCTCGGCCCTCTTCCAGGACCTGGAGCAGTATGTCCAGGATGCTGGTGTCCGGTGGGAGTACTGTGTGCGGGCCAAGCGGGGTCAGACGGACACCTCACAGCCAGGTACCACTTGGGGGGCGTCAGTGGAGTGTTTGGGAGAATTCTATTTACTTATTTTATATATTTCTTTTTTGTATGTTCTGCTGCTGTGTAGGTTGAGCATCACCAGTCCTGTAGAGTGTGAGTTGGCACAGGCAGCCAGAACAGGCACAAACTCATGGCTAGAACACAAAAAGTAAATTTATTTGCATTACCTCCCTAACTGGGGGATCCCCAGAGCAACGCCCAACACCTGGGCAGAGGAACACAAGATCAGAGGGTCACCAGCCTGCTGTTCACAATCTTATCAAGAGTTACACCCAGGTGCAAGGTCACTTGAGCAATTTACAATGCTCCAGATCAGTGTTTTGCTTTTAACCCTCTCCTCCCAACACGGCCACAGCATCCAGTCCCCGTATCCCTCCCCATCCTGAGCACCACTCTCCCTGTCCCATGGGAGTGACTTGCACAAGCTCTTGGGGAAGCAGCAGGCAAAGGAGAGGAAACATTTGGATACATTTGGATGCTTGCAGTGGTTTATCCTTTAAAAAATTACTTGGGAAGTATCCCAGTGGGGTTTGTGGCTCTGGCTGCACCCGGCTGCCTCCCCAGTGCTCATCCCTTGGGACACAGTGGTCCTGAGCCCTGGCACGCTCGTGGGCAGTGCCCTCACTCTGGTTATTGTGGTCAGCAAACGTTCAGGCAAGTGGAGGGAGGTGGAAGCCAGGAGCCCTGTGCCAGGCCTTTTCTGCTGTTCCAGGCTGTTTCAGTAAGGACCAGGTGTACCTGGACGGGATTCTCCGCATCCTGCGCCATCGGCAGACCATCGACTTCCCACTGCTGGCTGCACTTGGAAAGGTAAGAGCCAGGGGGAGGTGGGGCAGGGAGTGGCTGATCCCACAATCCCATGCCATCCCAAAGCTCACACAGGCTCCCTCAGTCTCATGGCTTCCCAAAAACCAGCCCTTGCCTGGCAGCCCCTCAGCTCTTTGTCTTTCCCTGCATGGATCTCTGTGTACCAGGGAAAGGCTGTGCTGGGTAGGATGCAAGGAAGGACAGGAAAATCCACAATCCTCTGTGGGAGACCTTCGGGAAGAGGCTTAACCCAGCAGGTTAAGCCTTTCTGGCCCTTGCCACAGCAGTCCTGCTGTCACCTGTCCTTGCAGTGACCGAAAATTACCAAACCCACAAATCCTTGCAAATCCCACACCCCCAGCAGCTCTCCTACTGCCTCCCCACCAGCAGCAGGGATGTTTTGACTGACCCAGGGGGGCTGCAAGGGCACCAGATGCCCCCCATGGCACTGCCAGGGTTTGGGATGGAGGGCACTGACCCCCATCTCCGTGCTTCCTGCCAGGTGTCCTATGAAGATGTGAATCGGCTGAAGAAATTCGGGGTGCTGGAGAAGGCCCGCATCCCGCACTTCATGCAGGATCTGGAGCGCTACATGAAGCAGCTGGATCACATTGTCACCACCAACGGCCTGAACGAGGAAGAGCTGGAGCAGCTGCTGCCTGAGTGAGGGGCAGCCCCTGAAGCAGCACCCCGAGGGTGTCACTGGTGCTGTTACTGGGTATTTCCTGGGGCTGGAGCAGGGGGCAGAGCCCGAGGCGGGCGCTGTGCATGTAGCGCTGTGTAGGGTAGCGCGGCCAAGGGCCCGTGTGGTTGTGTTGATGTGTCCCCTACATCGTCCCTGTGTATTTTGGGGATGCCTGTGCTGCTCCACGTGGCTTTGGGGAGCCAGAGAAGAGGGTTCAGGGAGAGTGAGGGCAGAGTTGGGGCTATGCTGGTCCCCGAGTGCAGAAGGCTGTGCTGGGGGGGGTTGCAATGGGGGGATTGCTGTAGGGTACCAGGAGTGCTCCCAGTACTGTGGGGGCACCTGCTGGGGGCTCTGGGCTGAGCCTGGCAGGGAATAAGGGCTGGACTGCACCCACAGATTGCCCCATGGATGCCTTTTCCACTCCCTACCCCTTCCCTCATGTCCCCCACCAGCAGCAGGAAGGACTTTCATCCCCCATTACCAATCTCTGCCCAGCTCTGCACCCCAACTACAGCCACCCTGCCTGGCTTTGAGGACTCAGGGTGGGGACAGGGCTTGATGTTAGGAAAAAAGCGTGTAATAAAGGTGATGTAATGGAAAAGACGTGTGGGCAAAAGGTTGTGGATAGCATCAAAACCCAGGCTGGCACCACTGTGAACACCCACTGTGCCTCTTGCTGGCACAGGCAAAGCTGCATGGTCTGAGCTGCTGTGTCAGGGGCTGCAGGGGGTCATGGACTGTGACAAACAACATACTGGACAGGGACATCAGTGCATAAAAGCAGGCAAAAGTAAAAACTGCTCTGAGCTGTTCCTGGTCTCTTAACACATGTGCTCTGCAGCAGTCATGGCACCCCTGGGAGTACCCTCTTAAGAGAAAACAAAACAAAACCCAAACCAAGCAAACCCCACAGCTGCTTGTCTTACATCCCACTGAGCTCCGGGAAAGGTAGCACAGGCCAATCTGTGGCTCCAGAGCTCCCAAAAGCTCCAAGTTTGGCCGCAAGCCCTGTTCACAGCATCCCCAGCTGCCCCTCACTCCTGATCCTGCAGGGCAGCTGCAGATTCTTCACAGGGTGCAGAGGCTGTAGCAGGCAGGGCAGCACAAACCGAGCTAGGGAAAGGAGAGCACTTATCTCTGGGGATTCTGCTCCCCTCTAGTCCAGCTCTCCAAGAACATGCTGGCACTGTTCACATCTCCCCTGCACAAACCCACTGCCAGCACGGTCAATTAAGACTCTGCTCTTTAATGTACTATTTCCTCCAACATTGCACTCCCCAACGCTGAATGCGATACAGCGCTGCTTTGAAAAGATATTTACACACATCCCAGCATCACCCCCTTGTCAGCCCAAGGAGCAAGGCCTCAGCCCATGCTAAGACCCAACCAGGGGAAGTCTCTTGCGGCCTTTCTGTCGGAATGGCAGCAGTGACAAAGGGCAACAGAGCTACTGCGGTGGTTCTGGATTGGTTTTGGTCGCATCCCTGATGAAAAAACAGCATGGAGATGGGAGAGGTGTTGATCTGTGCCCAGGCAGGGCTAGAAGCGCTTCATCTGTCGGCGTTCCTGCCGCCGCTGCTTCTTCTCGTTGGGCTCCTGAGCAGCGGGCGAGGACTCGGCTGTAAACCAGGGCCCCAGGATGTTCACCCACAGGAGGTAGAGAGCGCGCCCCGGGGCCTGCAAAACACACGTGGCACAAGCTCAGGCACCCTGGGACAGGAGGGCTGGTCCTTCTGAGGGAGACAAAGCAGCTGGACCACAGGCAGCTCACGGTGCACGGAAATCAAAGGCAGTGGCAGGCGCCCAAAATAAACGGCCTGATTTCATTCCATGGTTGAGGAACAGAGCTCAGACTTCATGTACGGAAATCCCAGCATCAGGTCTGAATTACCCAGAGGGATCCAACTGTCCAGACATTCCACTTCTCCTTCCTTTGGAAAACACACCCACATTTCTTTGAATTTATGAAAAAAGCAATCCAGATGGTCTCCAGGGGACAGCCGAGTCTAGGCTGCCCTCTGCCAGGCCAGCTAGAGAGGAATTTGTGGGTGAGGACTGAAATGAGATCAAGGACTGAACTGGGATAACTTTCCATGCTCCCACAATTGCCTTCTGTACCTTTGTGGGATATCCTCAAAGCAAATGTGGGATTTTTTAACTAAATGGAGATTTCTTTTTCTCCTTCTGCACAAGCAGTTTTAGCTGGAGACACATGACATACGTTTCAGGAGCAGAAAGAGTTTGGTGTGTTAAGGGGAATGAAAGCCTGTAGCTTTTTATCTACCCAAAGGCACAGTGTCCAGCAGATCCCAGCCTTGGTGCACGCTGATGGCTCAAACAGCCAAACATGATGAAACACTGTTTGTTACAGACACAGAAAGACTCTGTGCACCAAGGACAGCTTTGATCTGCCTCATGTTGCTTGTTGCCCTTTCATGGGACCAGAGGGAAAGACAAAGGCCAGCCTAGTTTTTGCGTGGTTGACCCACAGGGATCAGGACTTCTTTATTCTTCCTTGTTCAGTCTAAATTTTAAACAAGATGTGACAAGGAAATTAAAAAACATATCAGAAAATAGTCTAGGCCTGAAACATGACACTGAAATGAAATGGATAAATAATGTTCTCCATCCTGAAGACAGGGAAAGGAAGCAACAATGCAGAGCAAGATGGAAAACAGCAGGGGCTGGGGCTTACCAAGAGCCAGAAGTACCAGACGTAGAGCGAGAAGCAGCTCAGCACTTGGACTATAGCTGTCAGCAGGATCACATCCTTGAGGTGCCTGAGGGAACAAAAGCAAAGCATTACCCTTTCATTCCAACCCAAAGAGGCAGCTCCTCTGCCAGCACCGTCTGCTCTGCCCCAGGGGAGCGACCCTGCCCAACCCAGGGACTGTCCCTGCAGCCCTGCTTTGCCACACAGTTATCCAGAAGAATCAAAGCAGCAAACAAACTACAGCAAAATACTCTGATGAATTAAAGAGAATATCTCCCTCTGAAAAAACAACATTGAGAAAGCTGAGGAATTGCTGGGGGTTGGAAATCAGCAACAAAACCACCCCCCAGCCCCACAGCTGAAAGAGCAGCCAGCACTGCTGATTTGACACCTAAAATGACATAAAGTGTAACTCCTCACGACTGGCTGTGCTGAAGGGAGCCATGAATCTTCCCCTTGCCATTTCACAGGCTGACAGACACTTGGGGTCACTAAAGGACAAGCACAGGACACGCTGAGCTACAGCAACACACGGCTCCTCCTCCCCTCCTGCTTATCTGACTCCAGCTCTTCCGTGCCAGCCTGAGGCAGAGCTGAGAGCAGCCAAGGAGAGGAATAAGCTGCCCACACCTCAACCACCACCCTCGGGGGATCTGACTCCCAGGAGAGGTAAACAGGTATTAGTTTTTCAACACACGCCTCGGGGAGTGCCATGAAGGTTTAGAAAAGAGGCCAACTCTCTGGTTAAATCATCATCTGCTGGAGTAAAAAACCCTTGAGTCACATCCAAGACTGGAGACAAGAAAACAAAGGCTATGGCATAAACAACATCGACTCAAGACACTGCAGAATCCACCATCAACAGCTCTAGCACAAGACACTGAGGCTTCAGTGACCTCTGGCATTACCAGAGGCCACAGAGGGGTGAAGGCAGAGCTCCCACCAAACCCACCTCTCCCAGAGACCATGAAGATGGGCTTTCCCCAACCCCAGAGCAACACAAAGCATCCATTTCAGCAACAGACAGCATGAGAAAAATGCCATGAAATCCAGTGTTCCAGAAACAGCTCCAAAGGAGCAGCATTAATCAGCTGCAACACACTTAGCTAAGAGGCTGGAAATATCCACTGCTTTCTGAAATACCTGCTAGCCTAGGGGGTTCCCTGATCCCCAGAGAGGTAATTTAGAGGTACAGGGTAAGGATGGAAACTTCAGCTCTGAAGGTTTTGTTTTTAGAGCTCTGCCTCCCCTGTGTTTTGCATAGCCCATGACTCAGATAAGCATTAATTCATTTTAAGGTGTGATAAACCCCACCCCAAATGCTCAGGCAGAAAAACCTCTGTGCCTCAGTAGCAAGGGAAGTACATCTGCACCCAGGACTGCAGCAGTGCTCTGGCTGTGCCTGTCACCTTTTCACAGCAGGTGCTGGGATCCCTGTGCTACCTCTGTCAGTCATTTCCCCTGACAGCACCATCAAAGTTTTGTATTTTCCCTCTTTGACTATCCCACATTGTTTCACTAAAAAGGTATTAAAAATCTTTTGCAATTCCACTCTAGAGAGCCAAAACAGTGAAAAATGGGAGCAAAACACTTGGCTGACCAGCAAGTGACCAGCTCATAGGTCACAGCCCCTCTCCTCCTGGCCACCTTGTCCTTCTCTGCATCTCTTATACCAGACATCTGAGTCACCCCTGCTGCAGGCAGAAAAGGTACAATTCCACCAATCCAGACACAAGATGAGAGCTCATCCCATGCAGAGACAGCAGGTTCTCTTCCCCACTGCCTGCTGATAACATCCCCAGGCAAAAATCAAAACTTAGGTTAATAAAACTATACACATCAATATATGACCCTGACAGCCTGAGAACACCTGATGCAACAGAGAAGGCACAGCTGGAAACAAGGCCCCACTGTGCTTCTTCAAAAGCCTGGCAGCAAGGGAAGGACAGAGGTAAACCTGGAACTGCAGCCCAAAGACACGGGAGGAAGGAGCCAAGGACCCCAGCACCTCGCTGAGCACACGCTGAAGATCCCCAGCAGAGGCTGGACTGAGGGCAGGGAAGACAAAGAGCAAAGTCTGATGTGTCCATAACTACCTGGCAGTGTTCTGAAACTAGTTTGAGGCTCACTGATGGAAAACACATAAATCTAGAAGGTATTTCTGCTGTACCAGCACTGCTGTCTCTTTATTTTATTTATCAGCTTTGCAGGAATTACTGCTGTGTTTCCTGTAATACTGTGGCATTCCTTCAACAAGGAAAAGACAGTTACAGTGGCACCAAGAACAATGGACAGGCAGAGACTCAGTGCTGTCTGCAGAGGGACATGAAGAATGCACAAACATGGGAGACAGAAATGGCTGCAGAGGTGACAGGAACTGGCTGAGACAGAGGCAGGGATTTTTAGTGTGTGAAGCATTTCAAGACATGGCCAGTTTGCAGCCAGGATGGCGTAACTGGCAGCAAAACCCTTCTGCTCTGTCAAGCATTACCTGCTGTGCTGGTTTAAAACAAAAATACCTATCACTGTGTGCTGCAGCAGTGTTTGTTAACTGAAAGATGATTGTAAACTACTCCTGCTGAACTCTTTGTGATCTCTTACCTCTACAGCTCAGCCCTATGGACAGTAACCGTGCCAGGCTGACACACCCATGTCGAGGCTCCTGACTGGGGCACACCAAGCCAAGTGTTCAGGTAATAAGGACAGTTAAGGTACACTCTGAGAAAAAACGGCTCCAAGCTTCCAGCTCCCCTCATGGCCATGCCAGTGGGCAAGCTGAGGGAGCTGAGGCCCAGCCTTCTCCTTGGGAGCCTCTCCTGGCTCTGTGTGCACGCTCAGGCAGCAGGTCCTGCTCACCTGGACTCGTGCGGGTGTGGACACTCACTCTG